TTTTGTGCATACAAACTTATTTTTATGTAAAAAAAAATATATAAAAAAATTTGGTGACAAAATTTAATTAGGCAGATGCCATAGAAACAGATTTTTTTTTTTTAAAAAAAAAAAACCATAGAGAATGATATTTCTCATTTATATTAGGTTTTTTTCATTCAGTTTATTATAACTTAGAAACTGATAATCAGAAAAATAAATGATAGCGTGACAAAATTAGAACAGAAATCAGAAAATATAACAGATGAAAATGGAACAGATATGAAACAAAGTGAACAGATACGGAGGTGGAATGGTGACTGGGCCGGGATGACTGGTCGGATGTCCCGTGGGATGACCGGCCGGTTGTCCTCCTCTTCCCTCCCTCACTCCCTCTGAAGCTAATGTCTGAAGCTAATATGAAGATGAACTGGCATCAAAATTAACCTGTAAATTATGGAAGTGGAGAAGGAGGACCTAATGAGATGGTGGATATGTTTCTATTTCTCTAATTTTTGTTTTCTGATGTAACTGGAGAAGGTGTTTCTGAGATGGTGAAGTTGGTGTGGTAAACGGAATGAGATTCAGATTTAATAGAAAGGGTGGGGTTCAAAAGGTTCAGTTTGGAATTTTTTTTAGGAAAATTTACCCATAAGTCCTAGTTTTTGAAACGTTGAACCATTTAGTCCTAAAAGTTTTCTTATGCTCCATTTAGTCCCATTTTTACATCAACATGATGTGAATGATGTAAATGATCTGATGTTTCATTCTATAATTTCAAAATTTATTGAAATCTGATGAACATTAGATGTTTTTCATCCTATATTTTCAAACATTATTGAAATTTGATGAACATTAGATGTTTGAAATCCAATGTTTGTAACATGACTCTGATGTTATTAACATTGTATCTGATGTTATTAACATTGTAATGGGACCTTTCGGTCTATAAGAAAACTTTTAGGACTAAACAGTGCATAAGTTATTAATTTGGGATTTATTGGTGCATCCCCCTTTTTTTTATTTACTTTTTATTTGTTAAATATTATTTGATTTTAATATTATTACTTTTTATATATATATCACATCCGTGTACTGGGTACACAGCTGCAGCCTCTCCTTTTTCTTTACCTCAGTGTTGAACACACAACTATGAAACAATAGAGGGTAGGTAATAAGTAAGTGAAATTATTATCTTACCCTTTATATCTTGTTCTATGTAATCACTTTCCATTTAAGTCAAGAGGGGCATAATAGTCATTTTGTATGTCAATCCCACAATTATATGAGCTCAACGAGTACAATAATGCATTGCATTTCTGTTGCCACATATGGACGAAATTCATAACATGTAATAAATGGAAAAAAAAATTGATAATGTTTTGTAAGATTTACGTTATGATTTGTATTTTAAAATATTAAATTTAGTGTATTTATTCCTTCTTTTTTAATATGTATTTTCAAAAGTTGTTGACTTTAACAAAATGTTAGAAAAAAATTAAAAACGTATTTTACAAATGAATTGATAGAAAAATTAATTGACAAAAAATAATTGACATAGGTTTATTTTAAAATGAAAAAATTATTTCGAAAAAACAATTATTCAAAAAAATTACAAAATAAAAATTAATTGACAAAAAAAATAGATTTTTAATTTCAGTATTTTAAAAATAGTTTGTGTGTGGGTGAAAATCTGACCACACTGCCCGTCTAGTGATCAGCTGGAGAGCACAAGCAGAATAGATGGCTTAAGCAACCTGAAACAGAAAGAAAAAGCTCCGGTGGTGGTTCTTCCACCCGGGGGCACTCCGACGATCAAGTCAGTATATCTCTCAAAGATAATCAAGTACTAAACTGAATACTCAAAGTATAAATTACATACCTTAGACCCACGGGGGTGCCTTTCTTTTATAATATACTCAATCCAAGTCCCACTAGAAGTATGACTTCTATGAACTCTAATTCACTGTTTACTCTGGACTCTTTTAAGTGATAAAGATAAACTCCTTGAGAGTTTTATCCTTATCTTGGTTCAGTCCCCTTTGTGCCTTAGGACTCTTGCCCCTTATCTCGGATTCCGATATCTTCGGAGATGACCTCGGCTTCTCCGTGATTACCTCGGCTTAACTACCAAGGCACGTGGCACCTCGGCTGACACGTCGGCGTCACCATGCCACGTGTTGGTATTCAGAAAATATATCCCCACAGTTTGGTTATTATTGTTGATAAAAAAATATGGACATCGATATATGAGTTGTGTGTTTGACGATAAATTATTGGTTGAATTAAGTTTTGAAAACTATTTTCAAAACACATCACCAAACAAATTTTCACCTTTCACATGTCACATCAAACTTTCAAAACTTAATTCAAAATACATCTTCAAAACACAATTCAACATTCTATTTAAAAACCATAACCAAACAAATTTTCTACACTCAAATCATAATTCTACAACCTACAAACTCAAAATACAACTCATACTCTCAAATCACATTTACAAAACACAACCAAACGCAGGCTTTATTTTTTTTCTCCTCATCTCTCTCCATTATCCTTCTCTTCCTCCCCTCTCTCTCTCTCTCTCTCTCTCTCTCTCTCTTGTTGTTACCAAATCTAAGTAGGTGGTGGTGGAGATGAACATTGTTTTTGTTAGAAAATAGTTGAAAAAATTTCGCTAGAGATTGGAGGTGATTGCCGGTAGTTAGAAACGGTGGCCGAAGGTAGTTACTGGAAGTTGGAGATGGTTGCTGGAAATCACCGTTCGAGGTCGAAGGTTATCGCCAATGACCAAAGGTAATTGCTATCAATGGTAGGTGATAACAGTAATGTTGTGATTGAGTGCTCTATCAAATAAGGTGAGGACATTTTTAGATATTGATAGTTGAAAAAATAAGTAGGACTTGGGTAAAATAAATTCTATCATTAGGACTCACTCATAAATGTCTCATAAAAAAATTTAATAATTCATATGTATTGGGTTTCGAATAAAGTTAGAATTGATTTAGAATGATTGGCTTTAGTGAGTTAGGCCCCGATATCAAGTCAGTCAAGCTTGGAATGACACATCTACTTTTATTATACAGTGTCGACCCATCTTAAATCTGGCCTAACTCGATGTTTGTCCATCCTTAGCTGGCACTGTAAGAAAGCTATACACGAAAAATTATACAATAATTTCAGAGTAACAGATAGTCATATTCTCTCACTAATCACCATTTATTATATTCTCTTATATTCTTCAATCACTTAACTCAAATAATCAATAATTTCTTCTTCATTAATCATGTTATTATGAAATCAGAAATGCTCCATAGCTCGAAATAGACAAGGCTCGACTGGCCCGACTTTGACTTTTCAACTCTCTCTCTCTCTCTCTCTCTCTCTCTCTCTCTCTTTTGCAACATAGATGAGGGTGGAACTCTACAGACTACATCTCTCTCTCTTCCCCCTTTCCCTTCTTCCTCTATTTCTTTTTCTCCTCTTTTTTTTCTTCTTCTTCACAACATCAACTTCCATCTCAAATCCTATCTTCTACAAATACCTCATCAAAACTTTCTCATTCTCTGAATTTTAACCATCTCTTCTCTCTCCACTCTTGAATGACAGCAACCCATCTCTCTTATTTTTCCCCTCTCTCTCTCTTAAAAAAACTTTCTCTTTCCCAAATTTGCAACCAAGGCCCATCTGCTATGCTTTTTTCTCGATTTTATTTTGTTTCTTATATGTATATATATATATATATCAATGGATTCAATAGGCCCAACAAAAAACAAAAAGAAAAGGAAAGAAAAGTAAAGTGAAAAGTTGTGTGTGTTTTGATTTGAGAGTGTTTTTTTGTAAATATTCTTTATTTAAGGGTTTAATCTTTGATTCTTGTTGATATAATATTGTTCTTATTAGTAGATCTTAATTGACTTATTAATTGACGTAAATTTAAATATTGGCCATTCAATCTCTTCCTTATGCTCTGTTCTGTGTTATTGTTTAGTTTGGTTGTCGTTTCAGGAAGAAAAATAAAGAAAGAAAACAAAAGTTTGTATTTATGATACATCATAAAAAATAAAAAGGAAAGTAATTTTGAGAAGAGTTTGTAAGAGTTTTTCCGCCTCCAAACCTTTAATCGGAGTGGATTCCAACAAATTTAGTTGGACATTCGATTCTTGAGAACTACCTTAAAGGACACCGTTGAAGATGAAGCTGCCATTGATTTCCTGCTTGATGAGGTAATAATGATCAAGTCTAGAAATTATTCACACCCATTTTTGTTAGATCTACAGCCATTTCTTTCGCATCTCTATTTCTCTTTCTTTCTCTCAAACCAGTTTTAGTGTGAGGGAAAAGAAAGAAAGAAAAAAAAAAAACAACATCTAACACCTCACGTCATTCGAACCCTAACTTATTCGAATTACTTAACAAAATTATTATAAAATATCACGTGACCGTATTCCAATAATCAGCCGCTGCACGCAAGGATGGATCTAGAGGGGGGCGGAGGCACCCCCAAAAATTTGAAAAATATCATATATTATACTAGAAATTCTAAAATAATTTAAAATTATAGGAGTTCGCACCCCCAAAATTTTTTTAGATAATCTCAAAATTATATAGAGTAGCCTCCCAATTTGTAGTTTGATAAACATGTTCAGTGCTACTTGTGCAGTCCTAAGAAACATAATTAATGATAGAAGTAAATCGAATCAATGAGCTGAGGCAGATGGAGTTTGTGATTCCATTACATCTTTTGAGTTTGTCTTCATCTTACATCTTGTGAGGGATATCATGGAGATTACTGATGATCTTTGCCAAGCTTTGCAAGTAAATCTCAAGATATATTAAATGCAATGCATTTGGTGTCTACAACGAAAATACTTATTAAAAAATTTAGAGAAGATTGATGGGTTCCATTGTTGGAGAAAATTAAATTATTTTCTAATGATCATGGTATACAGATTCCTGATATGAGTTGTCCTTATAAACGAGGCTGAGGTCGGTCTCATTCTGAAAGAGATCAACTCACCATGGAACATCATTTTCAAGTTGATATTTTTATGGTTACAGTTGATTCTCAGTTACAAGAATTAAACAATAGGTTTAAGGAAGATGTAATGAAATTGCTTGTTCTTAGCTCAGTTTTGGATCCTAGGGATGGTTATAGATCATTCAAAATTGAGGATATTTTCAAACTTGCAAATAAATTTTATCCCATGGATTTCTCCGAGCAAGAAAAATTGCATTTGAAATATCAGTTGGAAAACTATAAGCTTGATATTTCCATACTTCTCGAGTTTCAGAAGCTGTCAACCATTTTTGAGTTGTGTCAAATGTTGGCAAAAATAAAAAAGTCGACAAGTTATCTTCTTATTGATAGATTGATCCGCCTTGTGTTGACTTTACCTGCTTCAATTGCTACATCAGAACGTGCATTTTCAGCTATAAAACTCATTAAGTTTAAATTGCGCAATAGGGTAGAAGATGGTTTTCTGGCTAGTTACTTGATTACATACATTGAAAAAGACATTGCTCGAGGGTTTGATGTAGATTCTATCATTCATGCTTTTAATATTATGAAAGAGCGTCAAGCGTCGAGTTCAATTGAAGATGCCTAATTTTAATATATAAATGCATGTAGAAATAGTTACTACTTTTTGTAAGTGAATCTGGACAAAAAAATATTCTTAATTGTATAATCATCTTTTGATACTCAATTATGTTGACAAGAAATATATAATTCAATATTTTATCGTAACATTATTAATTTTTTTCATATTAATAGAAATTAATGTTGAATTTCAAATTTTATTTGTTAGAACTTAAACGTACTTTGACCTTCTCAAAATTATAATTCTGAATCGGTTCCTAACTGCACGCCCAATAGCACGACTGCCAAACGCCACGCTGCGGCCGGCGCCGACAAGGTCACGCAATCGTCGCTATCTTCTTTTCTCACATACACGAGAACGTAAGACCGCCGTACGAACCCTCTGCTGCTGACATTAGTCGCACGTGAAACCAATAAACAAAATCAAGACTCAGAATCAGCCACGTAGTAAAAAACTCATGTAGGCCCCACGTCTCGGGATATCTATTTGAGAGGGTATTTTTTGGTAAAAATTGGGCCGAGCTGTGAAATGTACTTTGTGGCCCAAAATGCCAAGGACTGGGTAAAAAGGCTGAAGTGTTACTACGGCCCAAGAGAGGTCACTCCGGCCCAAGCTGTTAAAGTTACTCTGGTTCGTAGACAATAGATTTACTCCGGCTCTGAGGAGATGGTGACTTACTTCGGTCAAAAGAAAAGATGAAGTTGCTCCGGTTAAGGAATTGAAAAGCTGCCTCGGTTTGGACAATCTGAGTTAGTCCGGTCTCAGAAGGTAGTCCGGTCATTATGAATTCGGGGTAGGTCGGTCGGAATGTTGCTATTCAGTAGATCGGTCCGAACATACCACGGTTCGTGTATGAGAGAACCGAGATGTGGTGTAGCACAAAGATGAACCAAACTACTGTTAGTACGGCCTACTTGGTGGCTCGGCATAGCCAGTTTTACTTCGGTCATATGGTAGTTTGGCCAAAGGGAAAACCATCCCACTTGGTTTAAGCAGTGGGGGAGGGTGTAGAAGGATAAGCACTATCCTTAGGAGTATGAATCCTGGGAGGACTCTGCATGGAGAAATACAAGTCCTACTAGGATTGTGCCACGGGAAACTTATAAAAACCCACAAGCACCACCTTGGAGGAGGTAATTGAACACAATCTTTCTGAGAACATAGAGCTTTGTCTATTTGTCAAGCTTACTGACTTAGGCATCGGAGAGGTTTCCGGTACACACCCGCCGGCTAGCTTACGTTTGTGTTTTCAGGTGATAAAGCGACGTCGTACGGAGGAGCGTGGACTTGGTCAACAGGATTATACGAGGAGAATTATTTCCTCCCCGTACACTATTGATCAGCCAAATATGCACAATCTTGGCTTGATCTGCCAGTGGTCCACTCTTTTTAGGAGAATTACATACCGGTAAAAAAAGGAAGAAAAATTACTAACGTATGGGTGTGTAAATTATCAGTACATATGAGGGTTTTGAAAAGTTGATAAAAAATTAATTTTTTAATTTTTTTTGTTTATTTTATCTTTTTATAAATAAAAAATGTAAGAAATGATATAATTTAAAATTGATAAAAAGTTAAAAGCTGACGTTTTTAGCTCTTTTCAAAAGAGCCCATAATGTGTAAGTAACATTTATACTTTCATTATTTTTTATTTTCATCTCACTATAAATATACTTTTATTTTTATCTATTTATAATTTTTTTTAATCTTTCACTTGTATGTAATTCCTCCCCTTTTTATACTATTTTCATCTCACTATAAATATACTTTTATTTTTATCTATTTATAATTTTTTTTAATCTTTCACTTGTATGTAATTCCTCCCCTTTTTATACCTATCTAAGATGTGCACGTATAGTGCGGTTCAGACGATTTGAAATTAAAATTATAAATTAAAAAGTAAATTACACTGACACCCCCTAAGGTTTCGTCTGATTACATTTCACGACGTTATAGAAATTACATTCCAATCCTTGTGATCAATAGTCTTATTTCACAAACCCTTTTTTTATATAAAAGGTAATAACTCTTAATAAAAAAATAGAGTAAATTATATTGAAAAAAAAAAGCAAATGAAAGAAAAAAACAAAATTAGAAGAAGTAAAACAAAGTAAGAAAAGCGAGTGTATGAGTTTAATATCTTTTTGATACCAACGTTAATTCCGTTTAAATAATTACAATGATAAGGGGTCGGTGTATTTTTTCAAACGTTAGGAAATGATATGTATTAAACCCAAACCTCGGGGAGTGTAAGTGTAATTTATCCTAAATTAAATCGTGAATGGAAAATTGACAGATAATTAAATTACGATCAGATAGTTTGGGACTGTTTCAATTTACTAGTTGATTAAAGAATAATATTAAACAATTATCAAGTATACATAACATACAACATTAATTTACGTAATATTTTTCATATATATAACACAAACTAATTTTCTATAATATTTTCTATGTATATAATTACTAAGTTACAACAAATTTCACATCTTAAATCTCTCTCACACTCAACTTTATTTTAATATTTCATTAGGGGTTAAAAAAACATATTTTTTTACTATAGCGGAGCAGATCAGTTTTGAAAGTGAATTATAAATTTTAAAATTTAATTCGCGATTAACAGGAAATCAATGCAAAATGAACGATTTTAACGGATTGGATAGTATTTTGCACAACTCTATACCTATCAAGAATTGTTACAATTGTTGTCACACTCCTTAAAGATATAAAATTTTAGGTTTTGTTTTGGTTGATTTCAAAATTCTGTTTTCAGAAAAAATAAATATAAAATAAAATAAAAATACTTATTAAAATTTTAAAAATAATTTCAGAAAATCTACACATTAATTTATTTTAGTAATAAAGGAAGAACAAAAGAATTAAAAAGCAAACTTTAGGTTATCCTTATAGTTTACTTTTAAGTGCAGTACATAATATTTTACAATCTGATTTTAAATATATCATCAATGATTTCGTTCAAATTAATAATGAGTGTAAAATACATGTTTATAAGATAAAAACCAAAAAAAAAGAAAAAAAGAAGGAAGATTAAAGTGGCCAGGTGTGAATTACACATAAAATAAAACACAAGTGGTAAGGTGCCTTTTGAGTCTTGTTAGAAATTGGGCGCCCATGTGACATAACCCGTTGTATCTGAACATTTTGAACCTTATCCATATAAGTTTGAATTTGAATTCAAAACTTATTTAGATAACCATTTAGGATATCTATATCTATCATATCAATAGATATGGATAGATGGATAGATTGATATATATATGGATAGATGGATAGATTGATATATATGTGGTTATATATCATATTATATGGTTAATCTATGAGATACGAATATCAGATATACGTTATGTGATTTTTACCCATAACTATTTTTCTCATACTCTCTCTCTCTGACTCTACTCTCTTTCTAACTCTCTCCCATAAAACAACGATCAAGTCATTTTGCACTGTGACTTGTGTGGGTGATACTCATTTTGTATTATCACTCCACTGCTGGGTTCGTTGTTCAGAGTTTGGAAGCACGTGATTTACCCACGAGGTTCTTCGCTACAAGGTATGATTTTGATATTTTATCCGCTGCGTTATTATACCTTTTGATTTACATTGGTATCAGAGCCTATATGGGTTTTTTCGTGCTTATTTTTTATGCATTAAAATATGTGTATTTTTTTATATAAATATATACACATTATATGCATGAAAATTAATGGAGGAGGAAGATGAAGTACCCGGTTTTTTGCACTTCAACTCTCATTGATTGAGAATGTGATACACTTCATTTTTATGTTCATTAAATGTTATTTTTAATGCCATAAATGTTTTTATTGTGAAAAATGGAGTCCAGCAGTACAAAAATCGAACTAGAAAACACCCTGGAAGGTAGAGCGTGGGCCTCACGCGCCACCTGACGCCGTGGGAGGCATCCACGCACTCCACGTGCTGCCACGTGCTCTCACGCGCCTCCACGCGCGCGTTGTTCCGCGCTTTCCACGCGCGCGCCGCGTGCTGAGCCGCCAGCCGAGTCGCGTTCTGAGCCGCGCGCGCTGAATCGCGCCATTTTTTCCTCCGCTGGCTTGTCTGCTGATGTAAGGGTCTATTTGTTTTTTTTTTTAAATTCAGAATTATGTTAAATGGTCATAATTAATTCGTTATAGTTTTGTTTTAAACGTGGTTAGTACCGTTAGACTCAAAATTATATTTTCTATCTTTTGTAAAATTTTGAAAATTTTATGAAAATAAAAAGTATTTTTTCTGTGATTATAATTCATTATTTATGCTTTAAAATGCTTCTGGTATTGCATAAATTATTTTCTGGGATTGAATTTTTTATTGTAGACTTCTGAAATGTTTTACTATTTACTGGAATAATTTTTTCAGTTTATCAGATTCTAAATTTTTTATTTCTAATTTAATGTGTGTTTATTAGTTAATTAGAATTCCAGAAAATTTCAGAAGTGATACAGTTTCTATTATGGCATAATTTGAATATTAAATACACCATATTATTTTTTTTTAGGGTTTGTAATATGGTGTGATTAGAATAGCATGATTAATTGTTTTTTATTTTAATTCTGTTATTAAATGTAACATAGCATGTATTAATTGTGAATCTACATTATGATGCTATTGTATGGAATTAAATTTTTTTTATCATGCTTTTAAACATGCCATAGTCAGTGGAAGGTTATTCGGTTGAGAGAAATTTTTGTAGATTAACTCCCGAAAACTAATATTTTGCGCATAAATTAAATTAAATTTTAGATAATTGTCACATTTGGCGCAAGAGACGATTACGAGCACAGCGGATTTTTGATCTTGCGACTTGTGTAATATTGTCACTATTTAATTTAGATTTTTGTGGCAAAATTATATTATGCTAATCAAATTAATCCCAATGCGAATTTCTCTCTAAATTGACTTAGCTTATGGAAGTTAATTGGTTGACCTAGACTTAGTAAAGATATTCAAATGTGAACAATGTAATCCTA